AAAAGTTCAAGGGGTATGAATACTTTTGCAAACCACTGTATTTCACACAATAAAATGGAAATTAATTATTTAAAAATCATACATTGTATTTTTCTGGATTTTTGTTTTAGATTCCATCACTCACAGTTGAAGAGTACCTATGATAGACATTACAGTCATCTACAAGCTTTGCAAGTGGGAAAACCTGAAAAATCAACAGTGTATCAAATACTTGATCTCCCCACTGAAATGAAATGAAAGTTTGTTTGGCCAATAACAAATTCAATTTTGCTACTCTTAATTTTTTATAAGCACTGAAGAGCTACTTTAAATGAGCTCATGAGCTACTGGTTGGAGACCCCTGATTTACAAGCTGATGTAAAAAAAACAGGGCCGTCCTTTTTTATGAATCACGACTCAGTTAATATTTTCAGTTGAGATATAATTTTGTGATCAGCTTTTAATTTATTAAATATTTCAACTGCAACATCATCTTCACAGCACTAGTAGATGAAGCTGAAGCCAACCTGTCCGCTGGCTCCAGAACAAGTTTGAAGTCCCGCTCCTTAATGTAAACGAGCAGGCATTGCCTGTGTTAATGTTTGTGTTTTAGATGCTGCTGTATGTTCAATTAATCATGCTACAGGGGGATGCTGGTTCCGAAAATGACTTGTTTGCTGTTTTTTTCTTMTAGCAGCAGATTGATGCGTGCAGGAGTAGATAGAACAGAACAAACTCTTTGAGGGTTTTTCTAAGCTGCTAAATCCTCCATAGAGTAAACATCTGAAGAACCTTTTAAACCAGAATCTGAGCCTGTGTTTGATAACAAAGTGCTGGTGTTGTATCAAATTATGTTCTTCAGTAAAGATCTGATTCACCACCACCCTGATTCTGTTTTCCTCTTATTCTATGTGAAAGAAAAATGCTTTTAAAAAAAGATCTTTGGTTTTTGTTGTAGGAGGGAAAATACTATTCTTAGGCTGGGAAACAGGTCTCAAGTGGGCACACAATCCAACAGAACACAGGGTATTTTACTAAATCCATTAGATTCTAATCTTTGTCTCTTTCTCAGTATCCAGTGTTTCCCCTACCATTATACAGGTGGGGCATTTTTTTTATGCCAAACGTAATGTGTCGGGTTTTTCCGGCCCGAGACCCAAAAGGTTTTCAACTATGTGACAAAAATATAAAAACAGTTTACAGACTGGGCTGAGGTTCTTTGATCGTTTTTAGGCTGATCTATTTTCATTTCTGAGGTTAAATGATTTTCAGTCCCGTGGTTCAGTTTCATGATCGTTTGAGTTTAAACAATAAAAACTCAAACTAAAATAAAAATCTAACA